CCCCCCCCCCCCCCCCCCCCCACACACACACACACTCACACTGGGATAAATAATTCTGGAATTTCTAAGCCAACTGCTTTTTTTTCTTTGACAGAAGCTAGCAAAATAATAATAGGAAGTTTTCATGTATGTGCAAACTTCTGGCCTTTGCAACACTTATTTCACAGAAATATTAAACCAGATTCTATTCTACCTGTTAGGCACACAAATAGACTTAAGGTGCTTAAGGGCAATCTTATTCCACTCTGCTCAAGCCAGATGATGACATGTTACAATAATAGATGCACTAAGAGATTTTCATGTCAGGGTGGTGTAGGATCACACTTAGATGCCTGACAGGTGGAATGGCACCTGGCCCCATTGTTTTAATTATGAAACATGGTGCATTTTACTATTTATCGTGTTAATATTTCCTTGTGGTTAGATCCTTCCAGCCATTCATGCTTAAGACTCCATCTTATAATCAGTTTAGACTTTAATGCAACAAACCTCAATGCATGCGCTTAACTTAAAACAGGTGCGTGATCCATTGATATCCATAGGGTTTACCTGCTTGTTCTAAGTATGAGCATAAGTGTTTGCAGGATCAGGGCTGAAGTCTTCAAAGACATCTTTGATGTGTATGATTTGGAAGTGACATGTGTTGTCAAATAGTAAAATTTTAGCCATGTACATACAAATCAGCAAATCTCCAAGCATGCTAAATATCTGATGTTTTGCAAAACAAAATAAACACTTCAGCTTTTATTTGAGCTGCACATTCAAATAAATTTAAATTGATGGTCCCATATGCATGCAGGAGCATTCCGAAGTATTTGAATCACACATTCAGACAAATAAGTCTGTTCATTTGAATGTAAGATCAATCAGACCACTTCTCTATTTTTTTACAAAAGCCAGGAAGTTCAGTCGTAAATACTCAGTTATGTCACTGTCAGGCTAGGAAGAGCCAGATTCACAGCAGATGTAAATTGACAGAGAAGTCAATGGGTTGATTTACATTAGCTGAGGACTGGGCTCAAAGCTTCTACCATCAAAAAAGATCATTCAAAACTAGCATGCATAAAGCATATTCACTGAGCCATACTGCTCCTCTATATGTAAGGCATGAAGGTGAGTATAAAACAAAGTGTTACAAGTGTACAAAGAGGAAATGTTATAGTAACTATAGAAATCTTGCATCAAAATTCCTTGACTTCTGTGCATTCAGTGGGCCACCATAACCTGAACCTTGTGTGAAGTGTTTTGCATTTAATCTTTGCTGTGATTCTGTAGACCTAATTTGAACTGAGGTAGTATTGTAATAGGTGGACTAATTAGAGACATTCTCCCAGCCATATTTCAAATCCCATGTCAGGATTGGACTCACTCAGAATAACAGCACTATCACAAGTGGGGGTGGGGTGGGGAAGAGATTCTATTGTTACATCCATCCGTGATGCGCAAGTAAATATTTCATGAACTTTTAGAAAGGAGGTAATCACCGTAGTGTCATAATATTTCTTTTCTCTGGGAAAGGGGAACAGGTAGGCAAGCCTCTCTTGCTCCACATGTTGGGGGTATCCTCCGAGTTGTAACGTGCAGGAAATCCAGCCAGCAGTTAAAAGATGGAACACTATTAGATCGATAAAAGAGCAAAGATGGGTAACAAAAGAACAGATGGAAAGAGGGAAATGGGATGAGAACAATCAACACTAGGAAATGTGTGAACTACACATAGAAATGCAATGGACTGACTTCAGCAAAAACATTAGCACTTTTTATTAATATGATTCTGTAGAAATATAAAACAACATTCCATTCAAATTGAAACAGCAGCTTAAACCAGCTCTGCTCAACAGGCATGGCTGTTTGAGGAACAATCTCTAGGCATGTCAACACCTTTCACTTCCCAATTAGCAGCAACTTCCCCCAAATAACGTGGTACAAATCTGCAACAAAACCAAAAATCATCATTTAAAAAAAACATCTGAGCCTCATAGCACCCTCTCAAATAGGTGGTTCAGGGAGCCAAATGTCTATGGGTTCCAGCTGAGGCTTTTGGAGCTGAGACCTTACACCAGCAGCAATGGAGGGAGACTGACTAACCCATTTGAAAGTGATTTTCAGCATCTATTGCTAGGTACTCAACTTGAGGCATTTCAACACACCTGATTTTGCAAACATGCACCCTTTGGAAATTCCATGAGGGTCTTTTGGGGTACTAGTCCAGGAACTGGTGCACCCAAAATCAAGTATCACTCATGCAAATTTTGTCCAGAACACCTGGCATGTGTGTTGTGGGAGGGAAAAAAGGCTGGCTTAAGTCTAATAGTGATCTTCACAGAGCTGGATGATAAAGCCTATCAGTAGTGTATAAACTAAGTGACAGAAGCAAAGGACAAATTAATTGAAGGCAGAAGAGTCATCTCCAGATTTATGGTCTGGACAAGAAAGAACAGAAGTAATGGAGTTCAGTGGCTACATGCCTCGTTCAGATATCCGACTGAGAAAGTCATCTCTTGGCACAACCAGCCCATGCCCTGTTTGATCTTTGCTTCCTAGGCAGTTTGTGCAATGGTCCTTACCGTATTGTTTTACAGGCAGTCAGACAGTACCAAAGAGATTCCTGCAGACCAAGTTCTTAGTTATAGGTATTATTTGATGCTTTAAAAATAGACAGCATCTTGCACAATTGTCTTTTGTTGTCATTTCCTGTCTGCACTGGGAATTACAACCTACCCTTTTTCAAGGTGAAGATCATTTTCCAGCTGCGTTCAGCCAACCATCCTAACTGTCTTTGGCATCCAGCTAAAAATAGAAAGAACATATATTGCTGGTCAGGGCGGCTCAGATAGATTCGGTCCAGTGTTCATCAGCTTGGCTGGTGACATTCGTTCATCCAAAACCTCATAGAGAGGAGGAAGAGGACATGTTTCACAATTAGCCAGATTTGTATGGCTTTCAACAGTGCATTACAATAACTCTCATGTAACCCTAAAATAGCTTAAAGAGAAATACCTGAAAAGTGACTCTTAATCCCTTATACATACTCATGACAGTAAATTGATGAAAGATAAACAAAACAGCTAAAATTTAATTAGCATTTCAAGACTGCCATACTGGACAAATGCCATACTCCTGACTCCTGCTCTGTGTGTGTTCTGTGCAGATTTGTAAGATTCTACTGAACTAGTCTTATACCCATGTCAACAGTCTATTTCTTGGCATGGGGAACTGAGCTTGACACTTCCCAGTCAGTCAGTACCTCCTGCATCTATACAACTTTTACACTCTGTACCCCTAGCTGTATATTATTCCAGACATGGGAAACTGGTAGCATTTCATTGGCTTAAACAGCCCACGGACCAGGGCCTTGCTTGTGAAGGTTCTGTCTTAAATTTATCGAACCCCATCTCTCTCTGTTTTCTTTATACCTCCTAGGTCTGTATCTGTCCTCACTAATAAAATGATCTCTGACTTAGGTTTACACCCTCTTCCTCTGTAAATGATGAAGATATATTTAACAACATGGCTGTTTCCTTATTGTGTGATATAAATACCGTGTTTGCTGTTAAATACTACAGTATTTTGATTCTGTAACCTTCACCACTCCCCTTTTGGACAGGAACTGTAACCCTGAAGGTGAATGCTATGTGAACATCTGGTTATTACAATTCCCACCACCTCTTCACTCCCAGAATACTTTCTTTGACACAAGGAATAAAAGGGAAGAGGCAAATATGGCCTCTGTGAGCCCTTCATACCTTTTTTGTTTCCCTCTGAATTAATTCCTGCATCTCCTTCTTCCAGCCCAGCAACTCCACCAGCTTCTCCACCCCACTGACCACATCTCCCAGCTGGGCTATGTCATTGTACTGTTGCTGACATGCGAATGGTCCCACCAGGTCTCGATTGATCAGTACACGGGGAACAGAGCTGCGGATGGCACCAGCAAGACTAGCAAATGGCTCCACCTAAATCAGTTCCGTACCCCCAAAAGAGCACAAAGAAAGATCTTTATCCTAGGAGAAGAGGTCAGGTGGAGAATTCATGCTCCACTGTGAGTGTATTCAATTTAGCAAACAACCTTAGGGCCTCAAGGGGCTTTACCCCACTGGAGGGTCCACACTTCTCAATCCAACTTTGCCATGCAACACATCCCCTCCTCCCATTTAATATCAATGGGTATGCTGCATGTCTTAAGCTAGATACTCTGTCTGTGCAGGATTTTCCCACACAAAAGTAATTCCCTACATTGTAGATAATTTGTAGATGCCCCACTTCCCCAGTTATTTAGTGTTCCTTCTTCAAGTATCCACAAAACTAATCTTTTTCACCCAAGAAGCCCATCCCTCCACCTTTGCTCAGCACTCCTCAGAGTTTCCCATTTCCATCTACCCATTTCTATATAATCTGTGCTTTTCAAGGGTCCACAAACCTCACTCCTTACCCACTATGGCCTCAAAATTCATCGGTTCATTTTCCCAATCCCTGAATTGTGTCCCACTCTTTCTCCACATCCCTGAACTACTACATGCCAATGATCCCAATGTCTTCTAGGCGCCACACCTCAAGGGATGTCCCAATAACAAAGAGAAGGTCTGCCATAGGGAAATCTCTCATATGCAGGAAGAACCGGCTTGGGAGCTCCTCTCCAAAAAACACAATGTCAGGTTTTATGAGTCCAGTGCAGACTGGGCAGTGAGGGATCTTGTCTGCCATCACTTCCCCCTGAAATGAGAACACCCAAAACCACAAATGTGCCTTAAGGGGCAGCTCAGGACCCTACCGGCTCTCATATATAGGTTTCAATTTAATTACAATGAAGCAGCAATTCAGCCCAAGTACTTTCCCTCCTTAACTGTGTTCTTCCTGAAACAAAAAAATTGTCTTTTGGACCTGAGAACTTTATAGCCTCTGTGATGCCTGGCTTGTGGCATCTCATACCCTTGACTTTGCTTCTGACATCTCTCTGTGTACATGCCCCAGTCTTTGTCACTTACCCTAAAGTCTTCACCTGGATATGTTCTACGACAGACAGTGCACGTAGCAGTGGTGAAGGTGCCATGGGCTTCCACCAGACTATTGGGAGGGATCCCAGCAACTGGAACACATAGACAGAAATAAGAACAACTGAGCAAAAGGCAACTGAACTGGCAGCCTCTACACTCATCAAACAGTTCCATTGCCATTTGCCACCCGTGCCTCTTTCCACTGCCTGAGACCTTGGAAGGGGACACTCACCCCTCTCTAGCCCATCGATGTTCTGGGTGTACAGACGCATAAGGAGGCCTTTGTCATGCAGGAGTCGCAGGAAGTAATGGGCGTAGTTGGGCTTATAATTACCAGGGTACAGTTCCTTGGCCAAAGTGAAAAAGGGTTTAGGATTGTGGAAGAAATAACTGAGTTCAAAGATGGCTTCTGGGTAGGGAATGTTGTACTGCTGGAGGTTACTGTACAGGCCACTCCCAGGAGACCTGTAGAGGACAGAAATGCGGCCTGGCAGTCAAAAAGCCACAGGAAGGCAAACTTATCACAGAGGTTTCTGAAATACATGTACCCTGAGAACATGGGACATGACAGAGGGAGTCTGGCCAGCTGTGTGAGCCCTACCTGGATGCTTTGTGCTAATCAAGCAGAGAAAAGCAATCTCAAATTGCCATTATATAGAAAGGAATGCGTAATGTTAAATTGGCATATCTAGCTTTCTGCCACCCTCTCCCATCTCTTGGTATGGAGGCATGTTAAGAGTCTGTGAATGGTGGGGAGGGCCCCAGCTGGTTCACTGTGCGCCAAAGGTCCTGGAATAGCAGTGTGGCCTCTGTTCTCACTGGAGCAACTAGCTTATGCCAAGATTAGACAGATTTCTGGAAGAGCCAGGGAGGATACAGCAAGGGACGAAGCAATGAGTAGAGCTCTAATGACCTGAGGTTCTGCACTGGAGCCCAGGTTGCTGATAGATGTGCTAATCTCTGCTCTGGCATTGTCCAAGCTGGCCAGAGAGGAAAGAGAAGCAGCAGATACAGGGATTTTGTCTGTAGCTGGGAGATGCTGCATCTAATTCTAGGCTGGCACAAGCTAGCACCAATGAGAAGCAGAGGGGTGTGGAGAGGTAGGCTCCAGGTGTTACCTGGGTTTGGGAGATTAGAAATCCCATCTCTAGCATGGCCCAGATAAGCATGTGCAAGAGGGACAAGGTGTCACCTGAAATCTGGGATGCCACTGGGGGTACTGATCCCAGCTCCAGCCATCACCACCACCCTGCTGCACTCTTTCTTCTGAATTAATTCTGCCACATTCTGTAGGGTGAGCTTCTGCTTTCTGCTGTCATCTCCCCTTCCACTAATTCCAGAGAAGCCTCTGGCCATAGTAGATAAGGAGACAGGTCTTACTGCTGGGATCCTGCAAAGGCCAGAGAAAGAAATACAGCAGATCACAAAAGGGCTGAGGATTGTAATCTCAAGAGTTCTGGAGAAAGCCCAAGGCTGATCTTCTAAACTGCAGATGTGTGTGCTTTTCTTGAGTAACCCAAGGTAGGAAACTTAGCTTTAGCTAGTATGAAGCTCTCAGGAGCACATCCACACCCTTCTGCCTGAGGACCTTAAGGCACTGAAATGTTGTTAAGCCTCACACTATGTAGAATTAGTCTACTGTACATTAGTGTCACTAAAAAGGTGTGTGCCAACGCTACCGCACAGTAGCACCAGTTACTGTGTTCAGTTAGTACCTGTTACTGCAGGCATTAATTTTAATGCACAGTACCTACAGAGCATTAATGCACGTGTAAACATGCCCAGTGCAGGTATTCAGGTGAATTATAGAGAAGGCACAGGCATTAAAAAAGCTCTGAATCTCCAAATCAGCATACAAAGCCTCTGGCTGGACACAGATTGGAAACCTTTTTTGTGTCACAGCTCATAAGAAGCACCTGGACTGTGTTACACACTGCTGTGATGTGTATAGCTGTTGTGTAGTCTAGGAACTGCACGAACTACCACTGCGGCCTGAAGGAAACCCTTGACCCTTTTAGATTCCCCTCAAGGGCTGTCTCTTGCGAGGGTCACATTGTGCACATGGCAAGCACCATTAGCGCTCAGCCTTGTGTGTGGAAGGGAATGAAAGAATTTATTATCTCATATTATATAAGTAGCATTTGTTTGTGCAGGATGATACTGCTGATCCAGAGAAAATCTAGGAATGAGAACAGAGCCAAGGGGAAGCTGCTGGGATTTATGACTCATAGCAGTGTTAGCAGGCCACAGTACAGCTGAATGTTGCCTTCATGATCTATTTTTATTTTGCCAAACCCATGTTTGCTTGATCATTGAGCTGCTAAAACCAGTGTCCAGACCCTGGCAGTAGTCAATATTTCTCTCCATAAACCTGTTTTCTGTTTCATACATTCTCCCCAAATGCCTGAGGTAGCAGGTCCCATGCCTCACCGAGCCCGGCAGCCCATGTATTTAGATGATGGGTGCTTCCTGTTCCAAGCACTGTGCTGTAACATATTTTGTGGTATCTGAAATGTTTGGTGACAAGTCTCAACCTCCTGCCCCCTGGGGGTGGGTATTTTTGTGACACTGAGAAAGCTGGATAAGCCCCTGAGATAATGGGACCCTGGTTTGTGGGGAATTTGTGTCAGGATTGTGTGGCAGAATAACAGTGAGCAGTATGAAATGAGAGATCAGCCATACCTCACCCTGGAGGCACTGGCCATCTTCTCTCCAGCCCATGCCAGAACTCCTCTCTGTTGTGAATGTCCATTTGTGAGGGTGAAGCCAAATCCCAAGGAAGGCACAGGGTCATTTCTGCACAGCACCCTACCGTGATGATCTCCCTGAGTGCATAGCCAGAGACTCCTGCATGCTGAAACAAAAGATACAACAGTGTGGGCCAGGTGACAACAGTTTACTCACTGGAGAGGTTTGGCCCAATTAGATGGACTCTCTCCAGAAAAACGGAGAAAACACAGTCAGCTCCGTGCACTGATTAAGTATTACAAGTATAGGTGTAACTTCACTTGTACATATCATTCAAAAAAAGGCACCTCCAGATGAACAAAGCCCACCTGGGGCACTTTTTGTACACTTTTTTCCTTGAGGCACCATATCCCATGCACACTTAGTAACTTATGGACCACTAGAAACCCTCATGGAGCTCGTGTCTTAGGCCAAGAGCCTTCAGATAATTAGGTATGGTTACAGCAGTGGTTCTCAACCTTTTTAGATTCAAGGAATCCCTCGTCAGAGTCAGAGCACCTCTCAGAAAAGGTCAGGTTTTAGCTTTCACTTGATTTTTTACTACAGACCAGTAATAGAAGTTTTTATGTTGCAAAGAACTCAGAAAGACCACAACAGGTCAGAATATTTTTAACACTGTGGATTTCTATTAGAAACCTTGGGGTTTCTCTTGCAGACCATACTTGCACACCTAAGAGTGCCAGTGTTGTGTGGGACCCTGCAGCACCCTTGAAAGGATCTCAAGGCACACCAGAGTACCAAAGCACCTTGCTTGAGAATCACTGGGCTACCGAGTTAAAACACTCTCCCATGCAAAGCACGTCACTGACAATGATCTAACACCCACTAACTCTCCGCTCCACACTCCCCACAGTCCTCCGTGCTCCGCAGTCTCACTTGCCACCCTCCCCGAGTCCTATCTGAACTCCACCTTCTCCCTCCAGCCTCTAAGCTCAAAACACCAATCTCCTGCAGTCACTTCTGAACTTTGCCAATCTACTTATTCTTGCTGCCCCCCAAACTCTGACCATTTCCCTCATTCTGATCTTCAGCCTTCTTGAAAACTGCTGACCTACTCGCTCCAGCACTTTTCAGTCTCCTCTGAATCTGTTGTTTACCTGCAAATCCCTGATGACTCGCAGGAGGATGCACATTGCCAGCAGCGAGGACTCTGAACCATATGCCCAGGTTCATTCCCCTCACTCGCCTTGTTGCAGAAAGCAACAACTTGTGCAATGTGGATGAGAACGAAGAAGGTTCCTGTGGTTGTTTCTCTGCTTTCCCCTTTAGAGGCTCTGGCAACTGAATCCCCTTCTGGCTGCAAGGAGCATGGCAAGGAGCAACCTCTGCCGTTTGCACTGACTATTACTACTGACCCGGAGGCTGGGGCAGGGGGATCCAGAGCACAAGGCAAAGCACCAGTCTAATCTGTTTGCTCACCGTCTATCAGAGCCAGGCACAGCTGAGAAGGTCTTTACCATAATTTCCCTAATACAAAGGCTTCTATGTTAGACACATCATAGACCATGTTATCAGAGCAGCTCTCCTTCAGAGGCACCTGGGTTGCAGTGTTTATTACGCCACTGAAAGGGTGGGGAGCACATCTCACCTGTTCAGCAGTGCTCAGGACAAGGAGGGAAGAAAAACATCCTCCACTGCGACTTCAGAGGGAGGAGTTTAGAGCTCTTCTAAATATTGGGGTTTTTATTTGGCTAAGATCAAGCGTGTTGCAGGGCATCTGAACTCCCAGGGCTCTGAGCCTGGGACTGGCACATAGGATGCTTGTCTGGATCTGGGGAGTATCTGAACTTCCAGGCCTATGGGTTGGGCAGGTAGGCTACTGGCCCAGTTGAAGTTATGTAGCTGATAGATATTTATCTTAGACAAGGTTATTTGATTTGGTATTGGAAAGAATAAAAAGGGGATTGGTATTGAGTCCCTCAGTATTTGAGCAGCCCTGGTTGCAGGAGACAAGTGAATGGGGAGAATCTCAGTTTTCATTTAAAAATAAGAAGATTTCTTGCACTCTTGGTTGGGGAGGAAACTATCTGAATACATCCTAGAGGCACAAAAGCCAGAAAGCTGTTAAAAAGAACCACAAATATGTTGCCCCCCCCTTTTTTTTGTAACTCATAATGTCATGCTGATGTGCAATTGTCAGAGGGTCCTGGGGCTCATGATTTCTGAACATTTGAAGTTTGTCGTACAAAACGTATCTTGGACAGAGTGTAATCCTCTGGACTGGAAAATGGCCAGGACATTGGGATGAACATCACCAGCTCCCTCAAAATGTGTCACTGGGTCTTTCGTGTCCACGAGTCCCCTGGACTTTGGTGTAAGAAAAGATATGGATTCACCCAAAGAGCCTTGTCTGGACGTTGGCGTCGTCTCATCAAAAGGACGACAGCTTTAGTCGCGTGATACCTGCCTACCGGAGAAACAATCACCGCTCTGCACATCCAAGCGGCGGTGTTACCGTTTGCCATCAGGTTAGGTCTGAAGCGAGGCAGCCCGTCAGCCCACGTATCAGTGCAACAAGAGCTTCCCTGGCTTTAGCTCCTATCCATTTTATCATCTTGCAAAACTACCCGTGTATTTCCCTCTGTGATTCCATTGCTGAACCATTATTTCTCCTTTGGAAAGCTGTGCATTTGATTGTTTTTTTCGTGAAAAGCTGCCAAATACGATTTTACTGATTGTATACCCGTGCCCTTCTCAGCACCTCGGTACTGTCCTGAGCGATAAGCTCCTCTCAAGGTCTGCTTTGGATTTCTGCCAGAGCCTTGCCCCGGTATCAAAGCGCCCGCTCACGGGACACGCAGCACCGGAGGGGAGGAAGATGAGCCCTCACCCCCGCCTCGGGGCTAGGCCCAGGCCGTTGCCATGGCTACCGCGGGCGGCGGGGGGGGGTGGGAAGGCTTTGAGAGCGGCACTACGCTGAGCCATACGGTACCCATCATGCCCCGCGCGCCAGCGGAGGCCGGAACGGGATGCTGGGCTGCAGCGGGGTAAGGCAAAGCGTGCCGGAAGTGAGTGTGCATTTCCGGCAGCGCTGCTTCCGGTTCCTCGCACGAACCCGTCGCCCCGGCTCCGGCCGCTGCCGCCGCCAACATGAAGGACGTGCCGGGGTTCTTGCAGCAGAGCCAGAGCTCGGGGCCCGGTCAGGCCGCCGTGTGGCACCGCCTGGAGGAGCTCTACAACAAGAAGTGAGCGCGGGGGGGAGAGACGACGTAGCACGCCGCGGGGGGGGCAGTACCCCCCAATTGAATCACCCCGCATTGAGCCCCGCGCATGCGCACTGTGGGGCCGGCGAGCGCTGGTCTCACCGGGGGGGGGCGTTGGAGCGGGGCGTTCAGTCGTGCAGCGCGGGGGGACGGGGACCGGGACGGGAGGTGGACACGTGCACGTGGATACAACCAAACGCGTGTGTGGGGGTGGACTTTTTTTAAAATCAAACTCCGGTCTGTGATACCCAGCCCTTGGTTGTCTCTGATGCTGGTCCTGGTTCCCCCTGGACTGGAGAGCAGCTGTCCCTGGCTGGGATGTGCAGGCTTTCCAGCTGCTCAGGGTGAAACTCTGGGCTGCATGCCAGCCCCATGGTCCCCGGGGTAGTGGTTAGAGCTCTAGACTCTGAATTGAGCAACATGGGATCAAATCTCAGTGGCACCTGCTCCCTGGGCCCCTGCATGAGGATTTGCTTCCCTCGATTTGACATAAGGAAAAGGTTCTTTACACACCAAGTGCCAAGGGCTTGGCATAGGCTGCCCCCAGGGGTGGTAGAGTCACCCACCCTGGCGATCTTCAAAAAGCACCTTGACACCCACCTTGCTGGGGTCATCTGACCCCAGCCATCTTTCCTGCCCAAGTGCAGGGGGCTGGACCCAACGATCTGTAAGGTCCCTTCTGACCACCAGCATCTACAAAACTATAATGTCATCTGTCACAGGCAACAGAAGCTTCTCTGAGCCAGGCTAGAGATGGCTCTGTTCCTTTGTTTGGAGCCTAGAGACAGCCTAGAGGCTGGTTTAGCAGCTATGGGATTACCAGCAAAAGCAAACCAGCATAAAAGAGGCTGGGTGGGACACAAAACTAGTAGCTTGCAAGCTGGCTGCAATCCTGAACTGCTCAGACCAGCAGGTGAAAGAGCAGTAACACGTGTCAGGGTGTTTTTAAGCCTTCCCCAAAAGCCTTGGGTGTTGGCTGCAGCCAAAGCTGGGGATCTGGACTGGAGCACGCCAGTGCTCCTGCTGGACATAAAGCCAGAGGTTCCTGGCTGGAGGGTCTTTCTCCTGTGCTAACAATCAGACTGATCCCCATATTCAGGGTCAGGAAGGAATTGTACCCCCTGGTCATACTGCTAGAGACTCTGGGAGCTTTTGTGTTCTTTGGTAAGCAGGGGTGTAGCCTTCTATCTGGGATCTCTTGAGCATATATCAGCAACCTTTTATAGAAACAGGAGGTTGGTGGCTGTGGTTCGCCTGCTTTACCTGTTCGGGCAAGTTAGGGTGTTAGGTCTGTGTTGTGTCAGGGTTGAGGGTAGTCTTATATAGTTTCTATGCTATGGTTTGGGTAGGGATGACCATGCCTCAGGCAAGGGGGTTGGACCTCTGGAGTGAACTTTCCAGCCCTACTTCTCTTACGATTCTATGATTAAAGTTAGAAATGACCCGGTCATCATTCATAGATTCATTGAAATGAGCTGTATAATTAAGCAGGGCATTTCAGTGGATGTCAGGTCCAAGATATTTTCTTACTGTTCTCATTTGCTGAGGATGACTCTTTGTTTTGTTTTGTTTTCAGACTCTGGCATCAGCTGACTCTGCAGGTGTTGGACTTTGTGCAGGACCCCTGCTTTGCCCAAGGAGATGGGCTCATTAAGGTGAGTTGGCTGGTTTTTGTCATGTGGTTGTCGCTGCAGATGTGATGATGGAAAAGGTGTTTCAGTACTTTCTAAGTACACTCCTCTGTTTGGAATGGCATGAATAATTATTGTGTAAATGTCAACAAACATTAAATGTACCAGATTGAACCAGTGGTTCTCAACCTTGTTAGGTGCCAGGCATCCCTTGGAAAATGCCAACTCTTAGTTTTCACTCATTTTTTCAGTAAAGAAAAAAAGAACAATTCTGCTGTTGCAAAGAGCCCAAAGCAACCACAAGTCAAAATGTTTTTGACACTGGATTCCTATTTGAAAACTCTGGGTTTATCTTATGAACCCTAGGTAGAAGTTTGCACAGCCAACATTCCTTGGCACCCTTAAAAGGATCTCACAGCACCCTGATTGTGAAATCACTTAAATAGTCAGTGGTGGTCAGATTTTAATAGATGTAAAGCTTTAGCAGATTTTTAAAAATGTAAAAGCAGTTACCATGTTATGACACTCTAATATGAAAAATTGACATAGTCTTCAAAGGAGCATGGTTTTAATTTGGTTCATCTGTGGTTTTGAAAAACTTTATTTTTTTTTGTGTAAGCAAGGTGATCGCTTCAAAATTCCTAAGCTGTTAGCATCAAAGTTATAATTTTCTCTTTTTGAGTTAGGTATATAGCCAACTTTATGAATGCAACACACAAGTAATACTTGAATCTAGACATTTGGACGTGTTTGTACTTGTTTTTTCCCATTTTACTTTACGTTTATTTAATTGGGTTAATCAAAAAGCAAACAGCAAAGAAATCCTGAGCATTTGGACTGACTCAGTCTTTAGCATAGGCTGTCTAGAGAAGCTTTAAAGAGCATTGCTTCTACTGACTGTATGAACATTTAGAGAAATGCACCTGAGCAGCCCCTGCACCAGGCTACAGGTTGTAAACAGACCTACTTAAAATGCCTGCTGATGAAGGCTAGTCTCATGGCAGCTGGTCAGTCATGAATCTTTTCATGGGTGAATCACTCTCCACTGCTATTGAAAGGCGATCCTGGTGGCTGCTTTCTATAAATCGAGCAATATTTGGCTTATCTAGTTTGGAGTCAGTATGGACAGATCTGTCTACCTGGGAAATTTGCATTCTATTTCTTAGAAATACTAGTCCATATTCAATGAGGGGCAAGTTACTGGGCTAATTAGAATAAAATAGCCTATTGTCACTAACTGGCACTCTGATTTTTTTTTCCATATCTCTAGCTTTATGAGAACTTCATCAGTGAGTTTGAGCACAGGTAAGACTGACTACTTGTCCATAAACTCATTGGTAGTTTTTTTTACCTTTTTTACCATTTTTACCTTTTCTGACAATGTGGTGTTTATTCCAGGGTGAACCCTTTGTCCCTAGTAGAGATCATTCTTCATGTAGTGAGGCAGATGACAGGTGAGTAACCTTACTGTTTCTCATAATGACCTAATAGACTAGGAATTTAAGTAGTTTATGGTTACAGCTAAGTCTTCACTGTGAAACTGAAGCTTCTGGTTTTGCATAATACTGAAAGACAGAGTTCTTTG